CCCCAAAACCCCAAAACCCCAAAACCCCTTGATTCTTTATAAGTTGAATTTGAAAATAATGAAATTAAGATTAAATGAAACTCACTTTATTTAAGATTTTACCAAGATGAAAATGATGATTATTCATTATTGTCTGCTCATTAATCTTTATTCTATCTCATCATTTAAACCCATACAAAGCGGCATATCTCTGGATGTAGATTTTAAATATCGCTAGCTCCATCAGCTGTTATCAAATCCATATTTTTATCAAACACCATAATTACGGGCACACAATCAATCTTACATTACTCCCTTATTTTCATTATCCTTGGATCATTAAATGGAAAATGATATCCATCCATGCTATCATTAAATGGCTTTAAGAAATTTCCATAGAACTTTTGGAGCTCCTCTTCATCTTCATCATTTGATAAATAGATTGCTACTATATTTTTCTATTAATCGTCGTTAAAATGAGTTATCAACTCGCGAACTTTAGGACCTAATTTTTGGCATTAAACAGACCAGTTAGCTCCAAAGAAAAAAATAATGAATTCTTTGCATGACTCAATAATTCCTTTGACTTGTACCTGTTTCTAATTTTAATATAATTAATCTCCCAAGTGAGTGTCATATTCCATGATTTTAAATTTAAATTAACTTATTAAAATCAAACTTAATCATTGCCTTATTAATTTTTTCAAATTAAGTACTATCAAAAGCTTTTAACTCTGCTAATATGCTGTTTTTTACAAGCTAATGAAGATTACCATCAAAAGATAGAGGATAATATATTACTTGAAGCAATAATGTTGCAAATATCAATAATTACTCCTTGCTCAATTAATTTAATTTACTAGTGATAGTCTCAAAGTAGTTATAATCTATGAGGATTTTAGCGAAAATTTCTCTAATATTCCTTTTTTTGAAAAGTTTTGGTATAAGTTTGTAATCTTATATATTAAGCAAAATTTCTTTTTCAATCATATATTTGACAATTATACCCTCGTATTTGTGTAAATGATACCAGTATTACTCTTCAATTCCTAGAATCAACTCACATATATCTTTAAAATAACTCATGCTGCAAATATGTATTGCAGCTTCGTTATAGTGGATAGGGCTTATCATTAGTATTTCTTAGAGTATCTAATCAATCACTATTTTCACATACTTTATATCATATTGCTCTAACTGTTTAGAAAATTCAAAGAATTCCTCCAGGAAATTATCATTTTAAAGTATACTCTAGTACTCAACTAGTTTTAACTTAATTGTCTTCTAAGTTTCTGTTAATCGTTAATCATTCAAAATTTGCAAGGCTAAACTAAATGCTTATTTTTGGAATTAATCTCCGAATTCAAATTCATCACTATTTATGTTATAAAAAGAACTTCCTCCTATCTGATTAACAGAATTGTGATCAAGCAATAAGTTAACATTTTCATCTTAATCACCATACAAAGCTGAGAAAGGATCGATATTAGTAGTTTAAGTATCGGTAACTTGCAATAGCATATTAGCAAACCCTTAAGGAGATTCCTAGATTTGATGATTAAGATTCTATAATTTTTAAGTAATTTCATCTTTAATTGTTTTTTCATCCTACTTCTTCTATGACTTTCCATTAATTATTGCTTGAACAGAGTCAAAAAATTTAGGGTCGCGCTGATATAATTGCTATAGTTGATGCTTGAATTCATCTTTATTTTTCATGTCTAAGTTGACCTATTCAAAGAGTAGATTACTGATGCATAAGTACAATGATTTTTCCATTTTAATGTAATTATTTTAGCAATAATAGTCAAAAGAAAAATATAGGCATATGGGGTTTTGGGGTTTTGGGGTTTTGGGGTTTTGGGG